ATCCTCATAATGACTTCTGGGATTCTTCCCCCTACAGAGGTTCTTGATGAGAAACAGTCCTTGCTTCACCATACTGTTTATCACTGTTCATTGTGGAAAATGGGTACATATTCCTTCCTCAGGGTGGACCAGAGATTAATTACCTTTCTCATGAGGGAATGTCCAGGAAGAGAAGCTCATTGGCTAAATCCTCAGGGCCCATCTAGATACCTCACTAGCATGGAGAACATTCTTTATGTGGGGAGCTGTGGTCACATGTTCCAGGCCAGGAATCTGGTCAGGAGTAGATGAAATGCCTCCCAACCGTCCTCATGTATGAGGTACCAGGTTTCTGAACCCACTCAACCTTACCAAGTTTCCTGTCACTGTCCACTGCCCCACACTTCATAATGACAGTGTGTTCACACAATGACTTCTGTGCTCTCATAATGGTGCTGTAAGCTCTCATGATTCTTGAATCTTTACAGTGACTATGAATAACCACCATAATGACTTTGTGTGTCCTAACAATGACTTTCTATGCTCTCACAATGACTGTGTGTGACCTTCAAAATGACTATGTATGACATTAACATCAATTATTTGTGACCCTCACAATGACTTTTTTGTACCATTGCATTGACATGATGTGCCTTTACAATGTCTCTTGAATGCTCACAATGACTTTATGTGACCTAAACAATGACTGTGTATAACCTTCACAGTGTTTCTGTGTCCTCTCACCATGACTCTCTGTGCCCTCACAAGACTCTATGTGACCTTCACAGTGATGGCTTAAGACCTTCACAATGACTCTGTCATTGTGACTAGTCACAGTCACAGTGACTAATAACCTTCAAAATGAATCTCTTTGACCTTCATGTTGACACTATCTGATCTTTACAATGACTTTCTTTGTATATCCTCACAAATACTTGTTGCCCTCAAAGTGACTCTGTGATGATTACAAATTCTCTCTGTGGTCTTCAAAAGGCCTTGTGTGCACTCAAAATGACTTTGTGAGTCCACTTCTATGACTCTGTGAACCTAGCAATGCCACTGTTTACCATTCACAATGACTTTTAATGCCCTTACATTAATGTCGTCAAATGACTATGTGTGCCCTCGCAATGATTCTGTGTGCCCTTCATAATAAGTCTGTGCATGCTCACAATGACTGTGACCTTTATGATGACTTCTTTTACCCTTAAGATGAATCTGAATGACCTTCACAATGACTCTCTGTGACACAATGTCTTTGTGTGATCTTTACAATGATGTCTTGCAATATCATAATCATTTCTGTCCCCTCATGACTCTGTGTGACTAACCAATGACTCTGTGTGCCTTCAAATTGAGTATGTGACCTTCACTGTGACTCTGTATACCTTCACAGTGATTTCAGTGCTCTCTGAATGACTCTGTGTGACACTCACAATGACACAGTGATATTAACAATGACTTACTTATTATGTTCACAATGATTCTTTGTGACATTCACAATGACTTGCGTGCCCTTATAATGAGTCTGTGTGCCCTTACATTGAATCTCTGTGCTCTTACAATGAGTCTCTGAGTCATGACTCTGGACACTCTCACGGTGACTCTACGTGCCCTCACCATGACTCTGTGTGAGCTTCACAGTAAGTTTGTATAACCTCACAATAACACTGTACCCTTATATTGATTCTGATGGTGACTTTGCCTTCACAATGACATTGTGAGATGTCACAATGACTCTCTGTGCCCTTACAATGCGTGTGTGCTCTCACAATGATTCTCTTATCTTCACAATGAGTCTGTGTGACCTTCACAACAACTCTACATGACCCTAAAAGTGACTTTGTTAGGCCTCAAAATGTCTCTGTACATTTCCAATGACTCTCTGTAACTTTTAATAATTGCTTCCTTGTGCACCTTTGCTATGACTTCAAGTGCCCTCACAATGACTTTTGTGCCCTCACAATGACTCTCTGTGCCCTTACAATGACTCTTATATGACTTTCATAAAGACCTAGTGTGCTCTTTCGATAATGTTATACCCTGAATGGTTTTGTTTTTAATCAGAATAACTTGTGTGCACACATGATGATTACTTCACAATTACTTGTGTGCCCACACAGTGATTATGTGTGTCATCACAGTAACTCTGTGATATTCAATGACACCTTGTAATCTTAACAATGACTTATGTGCCCTCATAATGACTACAGTCTCCTCACTATGACTCTTTGTGAGCCTCATAACGATGTCATGAGACTTTAATTATCACTTTTTGTGCCATCACTATACCTTGTGTGTTCTGATAATGACTGTGTGTCTTCACAATGATTGTGTGCTCTCATACTTACTTTGTGTGACTTTTACAATCACTTGTGAGCCATCACAATTTTGTACGTTCTCGCTGTTTGAAGTCAGGTGCTCCCTCAGCCTGCCCTTTTTGGACTCAGAAGTGGCAGACACCTGATACATCATCACCTGCCACCACCAGGTGCAACACATTTCCACTGTCACCACTAGTTGTGTTATTTTCTTATATGCCATGTGTACCCTTTTAAAAGATTCCTCCTTACATTAAGACTCATTCTGTCTTGTTTGGTCTGTTTTTCAGTCTCTGTCATCTGCCTCTCTCTTGCTGTTTGTCCCTTTGTTTCTATCCCTCTCTCATATCCCCATTCTCTTCCACTCAGCCCCCAATAAATCTCTTATGTGAGATCTGTAGTATGGTATGATCTCTCTGTGGTACACCTTGGCCCCAAACTGACAAGGTATTTCTGCTGCTAAATCCTAACACAAAACTCAGAATGCCCTCACTGTAACTTCACAATGAATGTGTCTTCAGCATAATTTGCGTGCCCTCATCATGACTCTTTGTGCTATCACAAAGCTTGTGTGACCTTCATAGTGACAGCATGCACCCTCACAATGACTTATGTGCTCTCATGATTCTCTGTGCCCACACAAGGACTCTGTGTGATGTTAACAGTGGCTCTTTGTGATACTTGCAATATTATGTGATCTTCACAATGACTAGTATGCCCTTCAGAATGACCATGTGTGCTATTCACAATGACACTGTGTGACCTCTACAATGAGGGTACATCATGTACCCTCACAATGACTTGTGTGCTCTCATAATGACTCTCTGGGTCCACACAAGCATCTGTGTGGTCTCATAGTGACCTGGGTGACCTTAACGACACTGTTATTTCCTCACAGTGAACTGTTATCATAACTCATTGTACCATGTAACCTTAACAATGATTTTGTGTGACATGCATAATGACTCATTGTGATGTTCACAAAGATTCTATGTCCCCTCACAATGACTACATCTGACTTCACAATGAGTATATGCATCCTTACAATGACTCTGTATGATCTACAAAATAACATTGTGTTCTTTCACAAAGACTTATCTTTACAGTGACTTTGATCACATCACCATGACAAATGACTGTGTGCCTTCACAATGAATTTTTGTGACTTCATAGTGACTTATGTGTCCTCAAAAAATGACTTATGAGGCTATGTGCCCTCATAATAAATGTGCACCCTCACAATGACTCTCTGTGACTGTCATGGTTTGCCTGTGTGACTATGACAATGACTCTGTTTGGCTTCACAGTGACTCTGTGTGACTTCACAATGTTTCTGTGTCCTCTCACAATAATTATGTCTGACTTTCACAATGACTGCAACTATTACTATATCTCTGTATGACCTGACATTGGCTCTGTGCAATTCTCCTCATGACTTTGTGCATCTTTTCAATGACTTTGTGTTTCCACACAATGACCTCTTGTGTTCTCACAAGGACTGTGTGACTTCAAAATGATTGCATGACCTCTACAATGACTCTCTGTGAACTTCACCGTAACTGTATGACCTAGTCAGTGACTCTGTGTGCCCTCACAATGAGGCTGTATAATCTTCACAAGACTCTTTGTGACTTTCACAGTGACTTGTGTGCCCTCACAATGACTTTGTATAATATTTACAGTGACTGTGTAATCTTCTCAATGACTTTGTGTTCCCTCACAATGATTCTGTATGACACAAACAATGGCTTTGAGAACTCGCATTCGCTTGTATGTCCTCACAAATGACTTTGTGTGCCATCACGATGACTCCATGAAACCTTCAAAATTATTATTTTTTATTCATTTACAATGATGTGTGACTTTCACAATTACATTGTATATCCCCTCAATGACTTTTGAGCCCTCACAATGACTATGTGTGATGTCACAATAACTTGGTGTACACTCAAAATTACTTCTTATGACTATGTATGACTATCTGTACCTTCACAGTTCTCTATGTCATCTACACAATAATTTTTTGTGTCCTCATAATGACTGTGTGTCCTCCACGATGATTTTGTGTACCCTAGCAATGACTTTGTATAACTTTCAGAATGACATTTTGTGGCCTCTCAATGACTTTGTGTATCCTCATGAACATTTGTGTACTTAGTTACTGTGACTTTCAAAATGACTTTATATGCCATCACAATGACTCTGTGTAACTCTTCCAACACGTCTCCGCTTAATTACCACAGTAACTTTTGTGACCTTCACCATGACTTTGTGTACCCTCACAAATGACCCTGAATGCTCTTTACAATGACTATCATGCTCACGATGACTTTCTGTGACCTTCACATTGACTCTGTGGTCTCTGACAATGACTTTCTTTGTGTACCCTTACAGAGACTTCTGTGCCCTTGCAATTATTCTGTGTGAACTCCAGGAAGACCTTTTTCCTTCACAATGACTGCGTGACCTTACCAATGGCTCAGCTTGACCTTCACCATGACTTTTGTGACCTTGACAGTGATTCATGTGCCCTCATGATAACTGTGTGATCTTTACAATGACTCTTTCTGACCCTCACAATGACTCTGTGTGCCTCTGTGACTTGTGTGTCACCCTCCAATTTCATGACACACACATGAATTTTTGAAGCAAGTAAAATATAAGCACAACTACAAAATCATTTTTTACTTGACGCATAACTAAGAATAACAAGTATCAATTTTATTCACAATTTTTAAAAAGCACTAAAAAAAGGGTTTATATTGGAAAGTGATAACTTACAGTTGATAAATTCCAGTATGTAAAACAGTTGTGATGAAATCTAGGCTGAAAAAAAACTATCATAAAAGCCATGATTGTTTCTCTTTCCTTTTCTGCTCTTTTTCTTCTAACACAGACAGCAGTACTTATACTAAGTAACAGCAGCAGTAACTCTTTAAAGTAGAAAACATCGCAATTTAAAATATATTCCATATATTCAAAATAGAAAACACATGACCTGACCGATTCAAAAACCCTTGTCTCCATCTTGTCCTGTCTTCTGCCACGGGAAAGGTGGCACTGGTGTTCCCTATGCCTAGATGCCTCTCTATACCAGTGTCTGGCATCAGAACGCTAGCTCCTATGTAAACAGCCTTGTAAGATGTTCCAATAATGTCAAGTGCAGGTTGTAGTTTTTCCTCTTGTTTACAAAGAATGTGAAATGTAAAACACCACTGCATGTTTCCAGAGTGGCTGGTGGGAGGATGTCTCATTTTTTATGATAATCCAGGTTCTTCCAAATGCAGTATCAAATGAAATCAATTTTTAACCCTCAGTATTTCTCTTCTGATTAAAAGTGATGTTTTGGGATTTCGGGCCAGAGTCTCCCTTCCATCAGACTGGCTTTCCCCAGCTGTGTCTGTCTTTGAAGTCCATCAGGGCTCGGCATGTGGAAAATATCTTCAGGTTACACAAAGGAACACAACCCTGCTGGCTTTGATCATCCCTGTCATAACAGAGATGATTGGGTTTCAAACAATGACACACACATGTGCATGAGGAGGAGGCCACTTAGGGGAGGTCAGCTTGCACCCTCATGGACGTCTGCTGCTTAAATCCTAAATGCTTTATGTCTTCCCTAAAGTCAGTTCTCATATTAATGGTTGGGAACACACAAACAAAAATGCCAATAGGTTGTGACTGGGCACCATGGGGACATAAAAGCAGATGTGGGCTACCACGGGATGCTCTATAGTAGTGTTCTTCCTATATTTGGTAAAGGAACAGATGGCATGAGAAGCAATACATACAGACAAGCCAGAAGACACACATCAAAAGGCTATTAGGAATAGAGGGAGGCTACAGGAAGAGGGGTCATTACATCTATTTATGTCTTACGATGAGAGAAAACCATGGGGGTAAACAGAAGATAAAAAAAAAAAAGTCTAGGGAGATAGCATCTCAATGTTTGGTTTCAGTGTTCCGTAAAAGAGCTTGATTTAAGTAGGGCCGCTTCAGAACAAATATGCTAGTGAATTCTCTCACACCAATGCTCACAGAGCGGGCTCTTTTGAAAGTGTGAATGGAACAGAGCAACAGCAGAGGGTTGAAAGGCTGAGGTCAGATCTGCACATGTAAGTTCAAACTGGAAACCAAGGATATCTTGCTCAATGAAGCCGTAGAGCAAAGGATGAAGAGAAAATGAGCTCCAGTTCTTCCTTAGCCTTAGAGATTGTTCTGGAAGGTAAATGCCACCATGGAAGAAGAGGGAATACCTTACACAGCACGCCTACATCAGAATGCCATATTACAAAGCCTTGGCTAGAACAGATGGCACCAGAGATCCTGTTCTTCCAAACTGTGGGCCAACCATGCTCTTCCACATCTGGTTCTAATGTGCAGTGCGTTCTGACTGAAGGACTCTTCAGAAGTGCGCTCAGTGTACTGAGGCCATTTGTATAAGCTCAGGTGTAGATCATGGATTACTGTACTCAAAAATGTCTCCTTTCTATATAAGAAATCTGGGCCTTGGAAATTTAGCACAGGACAGCACTAACACACACTTCCACAATCCTAAGGTTCACAGCCAGGCTTCAGGATATGCACAGTAGGTGGTTTTAACTTTAAAGTGATGCCTTCTTCCTTCTATTCCCCCCAACCCCGCCAACCTGCTACATTCTTAACCACATTCACAGCCACTTTCAATAACCCAGGCCTCTTCTCCTATCAATGCTGTTGTACATTCATGGGGAAGAGGCCAAAGGAACTGCTGGTAACAGACAGGCCCGTTGACTTCACCAAATTACGATTCAGGCAGGACTATGAAGCCCCTTCAAACCACTGAAGTATACTATCCTGCTGATTAGAAAGTGCCTTTCTTCAACAGAAATCCTCAGAGCTCTGCCTAAAATCTAAGAAAGTCATCTGCTAAGGCTTTTTCACAGGGTAAAGGATTATTTCTAAAAGAGAATGTCTATGAAAGTTTATACTCTGGGTCCTGTGAAACCACATTCACCATGAATGTAAGAAGGAGCCAGGCTGGGTCCTACCGTGCCCACAATCTCACAGGCAGCACATTCCACCCATGGGTCCTTCAAATTGGCCCCAGCTAAGGTTCTTGGTTAGAGAAGAAGTGCAGGTCTCAAGGCCGCCTACAGTCTCTTCGGGCTTCTTGCTGGGGTTTCAGCTTACAGCGGGTCTGGCTCAGAAGCAAGTAGCTGAAAGGATGGAAATGCTGCCAGTTTGGTTCAGATTTACTTTTGCTTCCAGATACCACAGAAGGTCAAGACTGCTCAGTCTGTAAGCCTCACCACAGGCGTGTCCAGACCCACACCTCCATGTCAGGAAGATGGCCTTCAGGCATCCTAGGAAGGAACAACAGAGGAAAAACTTGAAAAAATTGTATCTTCTACATTAAACCTGCAACTCGGTTTAAACCAATTGTGCATAGCTACTGAGAGTAGTATGACGTATCCAAGCATCCCATCCTGTGTCCTCTGGGAAAGGAATAAACAGTTTTTTTAACAACACAAGTACCAGCATGTGCTGAGTACTGGAGAGATGACAATGTAACCCATAATAATCACAGTGACTTTAAAAAATGATTCTTTTGTTTATCGATCTCATAGGAACATTTGAAGACACTGCTTCAGTGTGGGGCTTCCTAAAGCATTTGTAGCTAAGTCATTCATGGCCTCGGAGGTGGCCGGTGAACACCGCCACTCTGTCACCTACATCGCCACTCTGTCACCTCAGTCATAGAACCTCAGTCTTCCACTCCTGGCAGATGTCTACAAAGAATGAAGGAACGGGACTGCTCTTTATAGTCTCCCTGGAATAACAGTCTTCTTGAGACAATTATCTTCAACAAGTGCTGTATCACAGAAAGTGTGGCCTCCTTTCCAAAAGGGAGCGGGCATCAGCCGACCGAATGCTGCTGGAAGGTATTATAGCCTTGCTTTCACACACTGCCTCTCAGTAATGTGTTCACCACCAATTAGCGTTGGTAACACAGGTAAACCTGAGGAAAACATTTCCAGGTAAAGAGGTTACCTAGAAACTAGAGGTTCTGAAGTCTGTCTGAACACCAGGAGACAGTCTTTCCCAAATACATTGGCCAACTGATGTAACAGGAACAAACGTATTGGCTCTATTTCAGGAAGCCAGCCATCCTCCTTTGATCACATGCAAAAAGCAGAAAGGCAGACTGGAAAACTGGATGGTCCTCTCAGAGCTTCTCCTACCTTCTGTGCCTTCTGCTGAGTTATTCATTTGTTTGTTTGTTTACTGTTTTGAGTTGGGGGATGCTTGTGTCTTTGGTGCATATGAGGTCAGAGAACAATTTGCAGGAGTTCGTTTTCTCCTTCCACCATGTCGATTCCAAGGACTAAACTCAGGTCATCAGGCTTGGCAGCAAGCACCTTTACCAGCTGAGCCATCTCACTGACACCAACATCACTACTGACATTAAATGATGTTTAAAAAGCAACACCAAGAGGGCCTGCACCTTAGCTCATGGGTAAAGCACTTGCTGTTCATGGAGTTTGATCCCTAGAACCCATGGTAGAAGGAGAGAACAGACTCCTGCAAATTGTCCTCTGACATCCACATGTGTTTCTCAGCTCCAATAACCACAAAAGGAAAATAAAGTGGTAAAATCACCAAGCCAGCTTTCCCTGTAAGGAAACAAGCTAGCTTTCTTCTCTCAAAGATCTCAACAACAGACACCACACATCTCCCTTCTGCCCAGGTGGGCACAGGGAGAACGAAACGGAAATGGACTCACGGATGCTAAAGGCAACTCTCACACCTGTGTACTTATCCTGAATCGGGAGCATCGCCATCAGATCCTGGGTGGTCTTAAAGCACCCGCAAGAACAATAGCGTGTAAAACAACTGGTTTGGGAAACAGTTCATCAGGCTTTGGAAATCATAGCCTCACACCAGAGCTGGAGCTGCTTCTGGTGGGAATAATAAGATCTTTTCTGAATTCCAAACGAGTCCATGCTATGTATGGAACCAAGTCGGCTAAGGATCAACCTAAACAGTGGACACAATGATCACAACGATCTTCCTAATCAGAAGCTGTTGAAGAAAAAAGTCTTTTTTTGTTTGATTTTGTTGACATTTTTAAAAAACAGAGACTTGATATGCAGCCCATTGTGGGGCGGAGGGCTGTGAGAGGCAGCCGGGTTCGGTCGAGCACAAGCTTGAAACCCTGGTAACTCTGAGGGACGGAAGATGTTTGGACATGCTTCTGGGCCCCTGGATCCTGTCACATAGTTACAGCCCCCCAAAAGCCCCATTAGCCACATAGGAGCAGTGTCCCAAGCCCTCCCACATATAGATAAGGTATCCCCAAGCTCTCAGACCAAGCCAATAGGAAGTACCTGCTGCCAGACCCTGACCCAGCCCAAAACTGTATATAAGAATCCTATCCAGAAGGAATAAAGGTCTGTGAGTGTATGAGAATTACTCTGTCATCTGAGAGCTTCTGTCCTAAAGCTGTGACACTGCTGCTTGGGAAAAAAAATCTGCTCTCTAAAAACGCCACCAGAAGCTCCCCTGCAATCCTCGATGGCTAGTCGGCCTCTTGACTGCTCATCCCGGCCCAACTCAGTGCAGAGTGGACGAGTCCAGGGTCTTGGAGCAACTGAGGTGGAGGTGGAGGCAGCAGAGGCGATTCCCCCTCCCTGCTCGCACTCTCTCCCCTTTGCCTGAACCTTCTCACCTGGTCGGGCCAGAGATCTCTGTGGAAAGCCTCCAGTACACAGGCCCACAGCCCATGATACTGTCCAACTCACTATCTACCCTAGGCTGGCCTTGAACTCATGGTGATCCTAAGTATGTGCTACCTCATTTGATAGCATCAAATTACTGATGAGAAGTAAATGCATTGTCTACCTGGAAAAAAATGAGCCTGTTAGAAGGAAATGTGAGCTGCTTCTTTGAATGCACTAGTCAGAAAACAGCAAAATTAGTTAAGTTAAACAGTTGGCTGTCGAAAGCTCATGAGGGGGCCAGCATGTGCTGAGGCTTCAGTCTCAATTCAGTAAGTACTTCTTACTTTTGAGGAAGGACTTCTCAGAACTCAGAAGGGAGTCTTTTTAAATGGGCTCAAAATGTTGGTTTTGTTTCTATTGTAGGGGGGATACGGAAATGGTTTACATTCTAGAAATTCTTTTTCTGAATTTAGAATGTTCTAGTTAGATGTTCCTATGGACTGTAAGATCACACATCTCAGAAAGTAACTTTTTCCCTATTAAGTTTTGGTGTGCAAGCAGAAAGTCATGTTTTCTTTCTGGACTCATTTCATAAGTAATTATGTCCTCCTTACAATTATCTGAGTAGAAAATCATCTTTATGAAGATGGTGATAATTATCTGAGCTGTCTTTCCTTACTGCCATTTGTGATAGCTAGTTTGATGTTAACTTTACACATGCTAGAGCCATTTGGGGAGATGGAGCCTCAACTGTGAAAATGTCCACCCTCATTGGCCTGTGGGCAAGCCTGTAGGACTTTCTTAATGATGTGGAGAGGCCCACATAACTGTGGGCTGTGACTCCCCTTGGATGATAGTTCTGGGTTCTATAAGAAAGCAGGTTGAACAAGCCATGGGGAACAAGCCAGTAAGCAGCACCCCTCCATAGCTCCTGCATCAGCCTCTGTCTCTAGGTTTCTGCCCTGTTTGAGTACTTGTCCTGACTTCCTTCAGCAATGGAATGTCACCTGAGGGTTGTTAAGCCAAAGTCAACTCTCTCTACTCCAAGTTGATTTTGATGATGGTGAGTCTAGCTTTTCCTCCCCCTCTTCTCTCTTTCTTTCGAGATTATAATTACATTTCTCCCTTCTCTTTCCTCCCCCCAAAATCACCCATATACCCCTCTGCACCTCCTTCAAATCTGTGATCTTTTTTCATTGTTATTACGTGTTATTATGTATATTGTATATACATATATTCCTAAATATAACCTGTTTAGTCCATACAATGTTACTTGTATGTGTGTTTTCATGGCTGACTGTTTAGCACTGGCCAAACAGCTGGTGTGCTGTCGTAAGGAAGACCACCTCCTCACCCACTCCTAGCTTTCCTCAGTTGCTTATAGTTCTTTGTGTAGTGCTGAGGCCTCATGGGCTTTTCCCCATCTAGTTTGGCATGTCCACTGGTGTCATCCTTCTCCTGCTTGGGCAGTCACATTGCTGAGACTTTATGGGTGTGGTTTCTTATGTTACTAGGAGACACAGTCTCACAGAAAACTCCCTGGCCCTCCGGCTCTTCCAGTCTCTCTGAGCCCTCTTCTGCAATATTCCCCTGAGCCATAGGTGCAGGAGTGTTTTGTAGATGTTTCTCACAGCAATAGAAACTCTAAGACACCATTTATATTAGAATATAAGGTATGCTTGCAAGCATGCTTTCTTGAGACAGGGTCTTGTGCAGGCACCTCCTCTTCAGGAAACACTTACACCAAGTAGTCAGATTTAAGAAGACAAGGCAGAGTGTGTGTGTCCTTTGTGCTCCCATAAAATGGTTCTGTTTGTTTAAAAAAAAAGTATTGAAACTTATTTTAAAACTCTTCTTGGGCTGGAGAGATTGCTCAGTGGGTAAGAACACTGGCTGCTCTTCCAGAGGTCCTGAGTTCAATTCCCAGCAACCACATGGTGGCTCACAACCATCTGTAATGGGATATGATGCCCTCTTCTGGTGTGTCTGAAGATAGCTACAGTCTACTTACATATATAAAATAAATAAATAAATCTTTTTAAAAAACCTCTTTTATGTATATAAAATGATGTATAAGAAATAATAAAACATAACTATCCCTTATCTACTACCCCAGATTTCAAAGTGGGAACAGTTTGGTTTCCTCCAGTCTATCTCAGGCCATTGCCATTCACACACTGAAAGCCATCACTGTCTTACCTGGAAGGCTGTGGGCATGGCTAGATTCAGGTTTTCACTGCCTTCCCAGCCTCCTCGGCTTGGAGTCCTTTGAGCATCCTGAGCTAGGGTCTGCTCCCAGACCGGATCAGTATCACCATATTTAGGTGAGTCCGTAGTTTCTGAAAAATTTCCAGAAGAATCTGGAACAGCTG